GTGGTGACATCTCCCCCTCCTGAGATGTGACTTGGGATGGGCTCCCTAGGAGGATGGCGGGTTGCAGGGAGGCTTGGAACAACTCCCCAGGACATGAGGTGCCTTCCCAGCCATGCCCTCAGTCCATGGGACATCTTTGACCCAGCATCTCCATCTCTCCATGGGCAGCTGGGCCAGAGATAGCCCAGGGCAAGTTTGTGCTCAGCACCCTGAAGCTGTGGCACCATGGTTCCCCTAGTGCCACAGGGGAATATGACAGCAGGAAGTGCCAGGGATGACACAGGGACACTTGGGGACACATGTGTGGTGGCACAGTCCACCTCCGATCTGTTTCTGGGGATGGACTCCCCAGGACAGCAGCAGGTCAGGGATAGGCTTGCCCAAACGTGGAGCCTGTGGCACCAGAGAGCTGAGAATCTCATTGCATCTCCCAGGGGCCCTGATGGCCCCGAGCAGCCTTCTCTGGGCTCCAACCTGGGGCTGGGCACCCCAGTTCAGCTCAGCCCAGACCCAGCAATGTTGCACCATCATGGTGGCTGTGCCATGCTCCAGCCACAGTCCACCTCCTCCTGCTCCTGTCATCACTGCTGGCAGTGGCAGCTCCCCCCCGTCTCTCACAGCAGGATGTGGGGGACCATTTTTGGCTGATGGGGTCCCCAGAGGCACAGAGAGGATTTGGTAATTATTTATGTCCCAAGGATGGGGAGCTGGGGAGCAACTTGAGTCCCTCTGTCCCCAGAGCCCTGGGATGCCTCTGCACTTCCAAGAAGCTCTGCCGTGGGTTGACCCAAGGGATTTCCCAGACCATATAGCATCATGCTCGGCACATGGAGCTGGGGAAAGAAGGAAAAGGGAGACATTTGGAATGATGGCTTTTGTCTTCCCAGGTCCCCATTACATGTGATAGAGCTCTGCTATCCTGGAGGTGGCTGAACACCTGCCTGCCCATGAGAAGCAGTGCATTAATTCCTTGGTTTGCTTTCTTTGTGTGCACAGCTTTTACTTCCCCTATTAAACTGTCTTTATCTCAACCCATGAGTCTTCTCATTTTTACCCTTCCAATTCTCTCCCTGATCCCACTGGTGGGGGGTGAGCAAGTGGCTGCGTGGGGCCGAGTTGCTGACTGGGGTGACATCCACGGTGAAGCTCCAACCCCAGGGCAGAGGTAGCCTCCTCACGCCCATGCTGGGGGGACACTGTGATGTCCCTTCACCTCCAGGAAACTCCATGGTGGCCAGACATCCCAAGAGCATGGGACTGGCTGTGTATGCACATGTCAGTACCACACTGGGCTCCACAGCAGGACAGCCAGAGATGCCAGGGGCACCCAGAAAGGGACAAGAGGAGCAGCGGGTTCAGGTCTAAGGGGGAGAGGGCAGGTGGCAGAATGGGCACCTGGTTGGGATATGAGGGGTCAGTTGGAGAGCTGCCACCACTGAGGGTTGCAAAAGGGGTGAAGGACCCCCCGGCCTTTCCCAAAATAGAACAATTTCCTCCAGTTGCCACATCCTGCAAGATACACAGAGATAGGCAGTTCTGGCCACTGACCAGCCATGGCCTCCGATCCAGGATGGGGGTAACAGGGGCGATGGTGGCACTATCCGTGCTCCGCTGTGGGCAGTGATGGCTCCGTTCCATGACTGCAGGAGTTCTCCGTGGCGGCGTTTGGTCCCATCTCTGTCCCCATTGCATGTCCCCATGACCCGATGTAGGATTCCATGCAGCAGTGCACCCCTGCACCCCCAGTGAGGTATTACATAAGTGTCTCCTGGCGTGTCCAGGTTGGCAGTAACAGACAGGGGTTGCTCAATGTCCCTGGAGCGTTCACGTCCCAAGCGCATGGCAGCAAGAAGAGGAGGAGGTGAGGACCCCCTGGCAGCACAACTGTTTGCAGACTGTCAGCCCCGGGGGGCAGGAGCTGGACCCACTCTCACGGGGCCCCACAACTGAACATGTAGAGGGGTAGGAGTGGGACAGAGGGAAAGACCCCAGGCGCCTTTGCTCCTTGCCGCTCCCCTGCTCCTGGCATGGGGATGCAGCAGGACCTCCGGCCAGCTCGAGTGAAGGCCACGGGGAGGCTGGGCCAGGAGAGATTGCACAGAGCCTGGGACACTGTGTGGCCGAGCTCCAGCTGGGCTGCAGCCAAGCCCAGTCCCACGGCCATGCAGCCCAGCCAAGGCAGGAGGGGACAGCAGAGGAGGGATGTGCCTCGGCACTGCATAAAAAGCCCCCATCGGGGACGGGGAGCAGGAGGCACCCTGAGAAGAGCCCAGAGCAGCGCTGCCAGAGCTGTAGGAGAGGGGCCATGGAGCAGTACTTCTCAGCCACCCAGAAGATGGAGCAGGAGGTGATGTTCCCCAGCTTGCTCCGAGGGGTCTTCCCGCAAGAGGAGGGGGCGGCCCCGGCCGCAGGCAGCCACACAGACCTCTATGAGCGCTACCAGTTGCTCAAGGCCATCAAGCCCATGGTGGAGAAAGGCCTGGCCTCCGTCAACGACCAGAGCCCGACCGGTGCCGACAGCGACACGGACACATCCTCGGACGGCAACGAGGCTGTGGATGCCCAGCTGGAGAGGCGCCTTTCCCACCACCTGACGGGCTTGCAGCAGGTCCTCACCCACCTCACCAGGGACACCAACGCCCTCACCCGGAGGTACAGCCAGATCCTGGAGCAGATCAACCTCAGCGAGGGGCAGCCCAGCTGGTGATCCTGTCCTGGACACCAGGTAAGAGCTGAGGGCACACAGAGCTCAGGGGCAGCAAGGCAAGGGGTGGTGTCCCTGGAGAGGTCCCCAACACTGCAAAGGGGTGGGAAGCTCCTGGGAAGGGCCTTGAAAGGGGAGCTGTCCCCTCGAATGGGGGCAGGTACCCATCTCCATGCTGCAGAAGTGGGCACATCCCATCCCTCCAGGCAGAGACTCCAGGGCTTCGGGGTCTGTGGACCCAGGGTTGGTGGACTATGTGTCTGCCGGGGATGACCCTTGGACTTAAGGACAGCTGCCTTTGCAGGAGAGATGCTGGTGTCACAAAGCAGAAGACGTCCCATCGCTGAACATCGCAGGCTCCTCCCCGCTCCCACTCGCCCTCCTCGCACCGTGGCAGCTGATCTCCCAGGGCTGGCATTGACACTGGAGAACCAGATGCTGCCTTATCCTCATAGGAAGAAGCATCTGGCTGTGCTGGGAACTCCATTGGGAGAGCTGCAGACTCGTGACCTCCTCTTTATTTTCAAAGAGCAGGACGAAGGTGGAGGTGTTGTGCCACGGCCCCAACCTCCAACAGTTCCTTGCAACTGCCGAGCCCTTTTCCAGCTGGTACCTGGACTCCAAGGGTATTTCCCCCAGTCTTTGTTAATAAAAGAAGCCCTGTGAAGCCATTTGTCTGTGTGGTGCTTTCAACTGGCTGGGGCTCTCATGGAGTGCCCCAGCGTGGGGCAGGGAGACAGTGGCTCTGTGGGGAGGGGACTTTCCAGGGCAATGATGGGGAATTTGAAGGGACAAAGAATCACAAAGTCATGGGATGGTTTCTTCACAGATCGTCTGGTGCAATGGCCTGCTGTGTGCTGGGCCATCCTGCACTAGACCAGGTATCTCAGAGCACTGTGCAACCACAGGGCACATGCGACCTGCCTGGGCGACCTGTTCCTTTGTCTCAACAACTTCAGGCTGAAAAATTTCTTCCTTGTGTTGACAGCAACACCAGTAAAAGCACCCGGTGCCTGATTTCTGTGCACAAGAGAGCGTGAATCTGTCCAACGCTCAGCCCAGTCATGCGACACTGAGGGGCAGCAGAGTTGTAGCTCAAAGCACCTCTGGAAAGCAACCGGCAGAACTTTGGGATACATTGGAGATTCTCATCTCCTCTTGCCTGATCAGGCCATTTCTCCCAGCTGCTGAGATCACATTGACTTTGGCTTGTCCTGCCCGAGCATGGGCAGCAGGGAAAGGGTGTCCAGCCACCTGGGGTTGAGTGAGCAACTCTGGGGCCCAGGGACTCTGGAGGGGGCAGCTGGGGCCCAGATCCAGAGCTGCCTCACGTCTGAAAGGGTCCTGGTCAGATTCAAGAGAGGACAAGGACAGTTTCAAGGGGCTTGGG